AAGTATAACAGACAGGTGTGTGACTAGATACGGGACCATCACTGTGTGGACCCATGTAGAAGACACACCTATAACAGACAGGTGTGTGACTACAGGACCACCACTGTGTGGAGTTTTAAATGCTTGATGAATTGCTCATTTCAGTCATATGTGCTCTGATCATGGTAATATTTAAAATTGTTCGGTCAGCCACTTGACTTTGTGTTTATCTCTGCAGGATGGGTTCAAGTTTACAACGGTGGTGCCAGTAACGTGACACTGTACTCGCTAACAACCAACAGCCGATGGGAGATTTATGTTGCTGCATTACAGATTGTACAAGAGCTGGATAGAGTTGGACCTGTGAATGTTTGGTTAGGTTAGTAAGAGTTGAACAAGGAAGTCAGAAAGTAAGACCTCAAAAAAACGTGGCTAAGTTAGTGAAACGTGGACAAGAGTTTAGCAAATCAATCTGCGAGTGGTTAAGGAAGAGGTGATCCTCTGGACATGGAGGAGGGTTAAAAGGGGGGTGTTTATTACCCTTACTCAAGGTCTCATTCTCTTTTTTCTTGTTTCTAATTTGACATTTACCAGGTTCATGCCCAGAGTGGCATCTACCAGGACCCAATGGCTCATGTTACTGGTTCTATCATGATGTCAACGATACATCTTGGTGGATTTACCGTCGAGGAGCCTGTCAAGATAGAGGCAGCGATTTGTTGATCATTAACAGTCAGGAGGAATTGAATTACATCTTGAACCACACAGAAACACTAGCACCTGGTCAAACATGGTGGATTGGTAGGTTGAAAGGATTTGCTTTCTGTTGTGGAAAATGACTGTGATTTCAATTTCTTATTTTACCACTTGCTTGGTTTAATCATCAAAATCAGTTATAAGATTGAAAATATTACTTTAATCTTTCCTGCCATGTGTAAATGGACTTGGATCAAACCACATATAACAGGCAAGAGGACACGATTAACATTGATCTTTAATGAAATTTGATTTAAAAAAAAATCCTGTGACACAAAATTGCTTGCCTTTAGGTTACTATGATGTATCTGTGGAAGGTACATGGCGCTGGGTAGATTGCAGCGATACCAGTGACTGGCAGTCAACTCTATGGATACCAGGGCAACCAGCTCAGAGGAAAGATTGTGGCATTCTGTTAGGTGGTACAGGACAACTGAGTAGTGAAGTATGCGATGAGAAATTCAACTTTATTTGTGAAGTGTCACCAAAAGGTAGGCAGAAAGGAACTTGACAGGATTCAAGCATACTTCCACAGCAAAAGAAAGTTGCACCGTCTGAACATTGTTTCATGAAACTGTTTCTTGAATGAGCTTTAAGCTTTCTGTTTGGAGATGTTGACTTTACTGTATGTTAAACACATTGGCATCTATCTCTGTTTTCTTCATTGCTCATACACCAGTGTAGAATCAA